TTTTTTTTTTTTTTTTTTTTTTTTTTTTTTTTTTTTTTTTTTTTTTTTTTTTTTTTTTTTTTTTTTTTTTTTTTTTAATGAGAATACTTAAACTAAGAAATTGAAATGAGCCTCCCATACGGGCATCAAAATTTCTAAACATTCTCCTATTTCTGTCCAGCTAAAAACTCCCTAAAGTAATGGGAAAGACCAGCTTACCCAATTATCATGACCTCATCCTTGTCCTTGTTGTCATCACTGGCAATGCTACTGTTATTACTAATGACGTTGTTTCTTTCTCCTCCATCCTTCATTTTGTCCTATGTTGCAATTTTTATTAGGAAGTCTCCAAATATCTCTCTCATTCGTGCATTTTTCCTTTTCCTTCCACCATGCTCATCATATTCTTATATTTGAGTTCTACACATCCTTTTCTTTTTCGTGATTTTTTCTTTAAAATTACAAATAACTTACTATATCTAATTTGTTCATGCAGCAAACAAGGAGGATCTCATTCCCCCTCTTCCAATTCTCACACGATACACGAAGGAATCTGGAATAAAAGCTTTTGTGAAGAAGGAAATATTTGACTCCAAGATGACTGATGAAAGGAGATCCAGTGAAATTAATGTGTTGACTACACCAACACTATGCGTTCAGTTGAATACATTATATGTGAGTTTCAGTTGCTATTATTGTCAACCTTACTTCGTATAAAAAATATCTAGTTCTTTTTCTTTATATTTGTTTCAATTTTATGCTGTATCTTTTTGCAATGATTATTTGATGGTTATAGCCTAAGATGATGACAATTGATTCTGGCTTCCAGACTTAAGTTCGCCGAGTAGAACTTTTTACATGTGGTCCTATGTTTCAACTTTATCTCATGAGATTTGATTTCATTTTATTTTTCAGCCTGCGTTATTACCTGTAAATCTTTCTAAGCTTCCTTGTGCCTTTTGCTAATTTTCAGCTTGCTACCCAAAATTGAAACTCTAAGCTAATTAACAAGGATTATCCTGGAAAAAGCTGAGTTCCTTTCTACTGCTAGGGGGAAGGGTAGGCTCATGGTCTTCTACCATTGTGGCATTTGTATCTTTGGAATGAGGTCTGCCTTTATTTATCCAATTCAAGGAAGAGAGAGGAGAAACTATTTTCCAGAAGGGTTGAAGGAGAGTCCCAAGTTAGAATTCAGGTCAATTGGTTGATCGGCCCATCAATTTTTCAAAGGAGAGAAAGCAGGCTTGGGGTGTGAACAAGTAGAGGAGCAGAGAAGAGGTCTTGCTTTCATCAAGGTGGAAGGTGGTCGGTGGTTTACTAGTGCCGAAAAAAAATGGATTTTTTTTATAACTTTGGACTTGGGCTCAAGCTCAGCAATGGAGGTTTGGGGAGGGTTGGAAGTGCGTCAGGCTTTGATGAAGAATGAACACGCGAAGTATGGTAAGTGCTGAAGGATGTGAAGAGCCGTGTAAGATGTTTGAAATGGAGCAGCTTGAGAGGGAAAGAAATTGATTTAGGCCCCAGGTTTTCCCCAAGAGGAGTAAAATTCATGGAGGGTGGTGGCCCACTAGCTTCAACTGGTCTTTTCCCTTTTTCGCTTAAACTTTCATTTGGACTTCAAACCTCTCTAATCTTTCAAGTGTCTGCTAGTCATGTGGTTAGTTGCTTTGATGTGGTCGCGACCATTTAAATTGTTAGTTGGTGCTTATTGCTATTTTCTTCTTTTTGGTATTGTAGTCAAGTCAGTTTTCCCTGAGGTAAAGTTATTTGTAATCAGCTTGAGTTTTAATAAATTCTGCAAGATTCCCTCAGGAATCTTCGTTGTCTTCCTCTTCCACTTCATGGGTACCCTTCAAATGTGGACTTAGCCATGCTGGCTCTCAAACCTAAAGTTTTTAAACTCTTGTGAACTGATTTGGTTCTATGATTCAGTAGTTCTATTAGGATAATCTCATAATTTCTCGTTGGTGAAAGGATCTGTCTACCTTCAAATACAGTCATTGTTAAGTTCCTGGAGGAAAAAGAAAACGAGGAGACAGCAGCTTCTTGACTTAGGTTTAGGATTTATGGATCAGAAATGTTCGATACTGTGAAAAAATTGAATGGGTGATTGATATTTTGTACTCATTCTGAAATGACTTAAAACATCGATTTACTAGCAGAGAATTTGCCAACCGTTTAAGGAAACTACTTTCAGGCCTAAATGTTTATTGAAGTAATCTCTTATTGGAGGGAAGAACCCCTCCAGAAATAATAGAATATAAGGATATGATTTCAGTTTTCAATCTTCAACCCTTTTCCCGGGTTCCCTTTGTTTTTAACGAAGAAGAAACAAGTAAATTGACTGCTATTCAAGGGTTTATGTTATATTAATACATATCAATTGTTATAATGCTTGTTTAGTTCTATTATTTTGTTGCATTTAAATCAAAGAAACGATTAGCTCTAGGCTCCTGGTTTTTTATCATTCATTTCCAAGTGATGAAGTTATAATGATGATATTGTTGTGACTATTCACAGTATGCAATTAGCCAGCTGAACAAGTTGGAGGACAGCATATGGGATCGTTGGGCAAGCAAAAAAAATCGTACGGACACATACCTTTATTTATTTATATTTTTTTTGTTTTAACTTTTAAATATGTGTGTGTGTGTGTGTGTGTGTATGTGCTCTTGTACGTTTAACTCTGTTCTACTGAACGTTGGGTTATTTTTTCTTTAGGATGGTAGAATTGCTATTAATAGAAAATGATTTAGTTATAGGAGGATGGGGATTCCTTTCAAGTAGTAAAACTAATTGAAAAAAATCCTGATGCTATGTATCGGAAATGTTTTAAATTGCAAGCCCAAAAATGAGGCTGAAACTATATTCCTTAGAGTGGACAAGTAAGATCTTCATCTTTGTCTTAATATTTGCCTAGTTATTTAAACGAAGCTGCAAACTGCACATTTTCAAATTGAATGCCCATTTCGTAGTCTACAACCAAACAATTTCTAAACTGGCACAGTAGATGTTCTGCAAACAGAAAACCATCCAATTTTTTTAAAAAAAAACTGAATCAAGACATTGAACATATGGACAACGAAAAAGTAAAGAATGAGCCAATGCCATAATCCCTGTACGTTGAGTGCAGCCGTTCTGTTGAATTTTAATATCTCGGGAATTAACCCTCAAAAGAGTCTATTATAAGCATCATAAGACATGATGATCGGAAGGAAGCACCCTTATGCTTATCGAAATAATGGCATGTAACGATAGGCTTGGAAGAGTTGCTACATATTAATAACATAACTCTTGCTCTACTCACACTAATCTTCTTATATCAACTCTCTATTACTACTTTTTAAAAGAGACTCCATGTGCAAATCAAACTCTTCTGCATCATGAGATGATGAATAGCTTCTCTCAAGAATTAATATTTGATGCAAATCTTGTTTCATCTCTATAGTTTAATTTCCTAAAAGAAGAAACAAATTCACGAATGAGGAAAATGTTGTAGAAATTATGTGAAGTAAATCTGGAAGTAATATAGAGACCACTGTGGTCAATGTATTAACAAAATAGTTTTTTGTAACCCATTACCGAAGGAAATTTTTATGATGAAAAAGATAAATGGAAGTTCCCATTTATAACTTCAGGATCCACTTGTTTGGTTCCCTACGTATTTCTAAAAATTGAAATGTATAGTTTCAATTGGGGAATATGTATGCATTCTAACTTTGCTGTGTATTTCATTAATATCAGAGTCACTTATGAATCTCATGATGTTTATAAACTTAGGAATTTTATTCTCTACAGAACTACATTATATAATAAACCTGCCTTATCATACCATAATAATATGTGAATGTTGATTTTCCTGGGTAGAAAAATCCATGGATGAAGAGTCAAAAAGCGGTACCAAGAAAAAGGAATCCTTTGATGGAAGCCGAAAGGATATAAATACTGCTACAGACCGCATTTGTGAGTTTACTGGTAAGATTTGTAGGAATTTATTGCTGTCAATTTTCACGAACTCATATCTCCGGAAAACTCAAAAGTTCACTATTTTCAGGAACAAAAATTGTCTTCTGGGATCTGAGGGAGCCATTCATTGATGGTCTCTATAAACCTAGTGTTTTCCA